TGTTTATCAGCATGATGCTCAGAGTGATGGCTGAAATATTCTCAAACAACACCTGAATTGCTGATGGCTGAAAAATTTTCAAACAACACCTTTCTTTCTTTCTTTCTTTCTTTTCTTTTCTTTCTTTCTTTCTTTCTTTCTTTCTTTCTTTCTTTCTTTCTTTCTTTCTTTCTTTCTTTCTTTTCTTTCTTTCTTTCTTTTCTTTCTTTCTTTCTTTCTTTCTTTCTTTCTTTCTTTCTTCTTTCTTCTTCTTCCTTTCTTCTTCCTTCCTTCCTTCCTTCCTTCCTTCCTTCCTTCCTTCCTTCCCTTCCTTCCTTCCTTCTTCCTTCCTTCCTTCCTTCCTTCCTTCCTTCTTCCTTCCTTCCTTCCTTCCTTCCTTCCTTCCTTCCTTCCTTCCTTCCTTCCTTCCTTCCTTCCTTCCTTCCTTCCTTCCTTCCTTCCCTTCCTTCCTTCCTTCCTTCCTTCCTTCCTTCCTTCCTTCCTTCCTTCCTTCCTTCCTTCCTTCCTTCCTTCCTTCCTTCCTTCCTTCCTTCCTTCCTTCCTTCCTTCCTTCCTTCCTTCCTTCCTTCCTTCCTTCCTTCCTTCCTTCCTTCCTTCCTTCCTTCCTTCCTTCCTTCCTTCCTTCCTTCCTTCCTTCCTTCCTTCCTTCCTTCCTTCCTTCCTTCCTTCCTTCCTTCCTTCCTTCCTTCCTTCCTTCCTTCCTTCCTTCCTTCCTTCCTTCCTTCCTTCCTTCCTTCCTTCCTTCCTTCCTTTTCTCTTTCCCTTCTTTCCCTTCTTTCCCTTCCTTTTCCCTCCCTCCCCCAACCCTCAGTAGAGCTTAATCTGTTTTTTTTGTCTTGGCGTTCTTGAGCCTCAGTTTCAAGGGGATGGAACAGCCCTGTGGCTGTGGTTAAGGATAAGTTTCCTGAGAACTTTTCCCAATGAATTTTCAGAGTAGGTTGCTAAAGTTTTCATATGTGAAGTGATCTTTAGTTGAAGACTTGCAGTGGGTGTAAATTGGCATTTTGTCTCTGGCTGTCAGTAAATCTGCACTGCAGGAGGGTCTGCCTCTCCATATCTTTGTGGGGTTTTTTGTTAATTAGCAATTTGAATTAATAGTAAAAAATATTGAAAGCCTGGAAAAACACATATCAAGCCATGTCCCATAGGAGGCAATTCTCAGTCTAAAATTGCTCGAGATTTTTATTTATTTTATTGCACAGTAGAATAGAGAGTTTGCTTATTAAATTTATAGACTGTAATTGCTGTTTTAAAAACAATAATGTATACTCAGCTTAGTAGATAACTGTCTACATTTTCAAGGTAAAGTTTTATATGAAAGCTGGGGGTTGTGGACAAATGGGAAACCTCCTGAAAATAACTTCACAACAAGTGGAGCGCCACATCTACAAGTAGGTCATCTTTACATCCCATCTTTTCACTAATGTGAAATTATCTCCCCTTATATCTGAGAAATAGCTATACTTATGTTATTTGCTTTAAAGCTTCTCTCTCTGCTCATGCATCTAGAAAACCCCAGCTCTTGTCTCATTTCTGAGATCTCTCACTTATATTTTTTCCTGCCATTCAATTTCCTATTAATCTGAGTCAATTTAGCAAATGAGAAAATGAGGACCAGATAGCACATAATTTGATTACTCATTTTCTCTTAAACATTTACCCATATTACTGAAAACTAATTCTCATCCAGCACTACCCTTCTTAGCCTGCAAAAGCCTAAACAGATTCTGAGGTTATAAGACTAGTTCAGATGGGATCATGCCTCACTGTAGTCAGTGGTGATGAACAGATGATTTCAGGGAGAGGTTCATGTGAAGATATCTGCTCCTCTCTATTGTCATCATGTTGTCTCTCAGCAGCTATGAAGGGAGCCCACTGCAATTATTTCAGATGGAGGCATCTGCGCTGATGTCTGTGTTCCTTCAGAATCTCACCTCTTCTTTCTAAATAATGCAACCCTTTGCTAATTCATATTTTCATGGAATAGAATAGATTCTTTATTGCCCTTTTATGTTTTTTTGGCACTGGGTGTGATTCCCAGGTTTGCTGGTGTACCATTTCCATGAGATAGTGTGTCTTTTGCAGGATGCAGTTGGCTGTGGAGTGTCTTATCTACATCCCAAGCTGCAGGTGAGGAAGGTTTGGCAGAGCCAGGCTGTGTGATTACAATGGATTTCTACCCAATTGTAATGGTCAGTTTTGGCATTAGAGATGATGAGGAATGTGGCTCCTGAGAGCTGATGGGTGGCAACCAGTGCCTTGGTAACAGTGTGGGAGGAGTGTAAAATGGCCCGGGGCACGCAGAAGCACACAGTCATTCAGTCAAAACCATCACCCTCTATTTATTGGCTTCTCTTTTAGGGAATGCTGTTTACTTCTCCTCCTATTTGGAGTTCCTGGGCACCTGCTGCCTTCAGCCCTTCCTACAACTCACTCAAAAGAGTCCAACATCTCAAATGATCTTCATCCTTTGGGCAGCAGGTTTACATGAATAAGAGAAAATGAGAATATGAGAAAGACAACACAGCACTGCCAAACTAAGTTTGTATTGCTAAGTGTGTGGTTTTTTCAGGTGTAAAAATCAGAAATTAATGAATTTTCAAGAGCAGCTAATACGTATTTTTTTCAATAAAATCATAAGATAAGCAAATCATATATGGTATATGTTTCTATATGTTATAGACAATTTTTTCCCATGTTCCATATAGATTTTAAATACATCATAACATCACAATAATAATTTTATAAATCAATATACTGATTAGTATTATGTTAACATGTTTAGAAAAAAAATAGAAGTTTTTATAAAAGCTGAAAAGTAGTGGCAAAATTTTTATGCTCCTCTGCCTGCAAAAATAATTGTATTAAGCTGGATGAATAATGAAAGGATGAAATACCCTGTATCATCATCATTTTGCTGTAGTCATGTTTCATTAATCAAATTCATCAGTTTTCCAATTTTCTTTAAAACTGTTCTGACATTTTCAAGGAGATTAAAATACAGGAGAGGGAGCAAGAAAGTGGGGTGCCTGTGTCAGTAAGAGATCTGGATCTCACCATTGTAGGCTTTTTTTGATTTTGGTAGTCTGTATAAGCTGATCTTTGGAAACTGATTGAGGCATCCAAGCAAAATTGGCACTGTTAAGTGGTAGCAAAATCAGTGTCTGCTGTGCACGTGTTAAGTGCTATTTAAGGCATCTACTGTGAAATCAAGTCCAAGGCATCCCACATTTGGCAGCTGAGGTCACCAGCTGTTTGGTTAAAAATGGGAAAAGGATCCTCCCCAGGTCCTGGATAATAGTTTTCTAATAGTTATCCTCTTGAGCTTGAGTTTTCTCCTGGATCTGTGAATTCTGCACAGGAGTCATTTCTCATGGCCAAATCCCTGAAGGAAGGCGGCTTCACCTCCTGCCTCGTCCTGCTCCCCTGCACACTGTGGGCTCACTGTGCCCCAGGATCCTCCTCTGGCAATGGGAAAAGGCAGGAATCTTATGATTTGAGCAGAGTCTGAGGGGCAAAGTTGGGTCCTGCCAGGCTGTGGACCTGCATCACTGCTGCTAGAGGTGAAGTGATCAAGGGTGGTGGTTTAGGGCCAGCAAAGGAGAAATGAGAGGGAATCCTGATCCTTTTGTAGCCTAACCAGGTCCCAGCCATTTCCTTCTGACTCCTTCTGCTCCTTTCCATCCATTTGCTGCCAAGGGCAGGTCTGAGTGTCCTCAGATACCACTGTATGACCCTGCCTGAACAAACACACCTGGTTTGCCAGATGTGATTGCACAGTCCTTGTGGGAGAAAACACATCTTCTCTGGACTTTGACATCCCTTTGGAGAAGTAAAACAAAAATTCTGGTTTAAAAAGGAAAACAGGTTGTGCTTTCATCATGTGCTGTGCTCTTTCAATGCCTTTCACTAAAAGGATCATCCAACTTTCCATTATCTTAATTTTCATATATTGCCACATGTACAGACCACTGACAAGTGTAAGAGGAACACAGAGTCAAGAATGGGAAAAGCAGCAGCATCCTTTACTGGGACAGGAACAGATGGAGCAGAACAGGGGATTGGAAGAGAAACTTAGAAGAGGGAAATTCTTTGTCTTCTATTAGTTCAAGATTTGGTACCTCATCTTGCTTTAACATCCTGAGGATCAAGATACTTCTCTAAAATGTATTCTCTCTTCTTTCCCTATTGACCTGAGTGAAAGCTTCTGCCAGATGCTGCAAGACCAGCCAAGGGCCCTATGAAGCATTGGTTAACTCTATGTTACGGGAATTGCAGCTCCAGGGAATTCACCTCTCTCTGCATCGTGACATCCTCAAAGATGGTGCCCTCAGGCTCAGTATCACCTTTCTACTTTTCCCCAGTGGCACTTAGCCCTGAGAATCACTGTGGGTGTCCCAGCATATCTGACTTTGGCTAAGCTTGCTGCAAAAGCAAAGCATACAGGTTTTTTGAGAAGGATATTAAAACCATAAATTACCTGATTTTTTGAGATTCCCTAGGAATAGGAATAGGAATCCTATTCAGCAGAAGGTATTGGGAGACACAGGCCTTGAGTTTACTTACTCTTTGTTCCAGGCCACGTCCCTTATATTTCTTCATCTAGTCTGACCTTCCTTGCCAAATAGCAAGAGGTAAAATGGTTATGGCAGTTACTCTCAGAAGACAAACATTCCCATGGCCAAATATCTGCGTTGCCAGAAGAAGAAATCAAGATTAAGCTTCTACAGTAGGGAGCACACAGGTGTTCCCATAGCCCTTCAGCGGTGGTGGATACACCTATGGCCACAGGATCTGCTGCATGTCAGCTACTGAACTCCCAGAGGATCTCCTCATGGGCACTGTGAGCAGGTCAGCAAGTGCTGTGCCACTGCCTGAGTGGAAACTATTGTTCCAGTGGTGTTTGTCAATGGACTGCTAGGGAAAGGCAAGCAGCCTTGGGAGGGTATAAATTCCGCAGTCCATACACCAGCTCTCCTTCAGCAGAAGCAGAGCGTGAAATGAAGTTCCTCATGCCAGCCACCCTCATCCTGCTCCTCCTGTGCCCCCCAGGCACAGGGGTGCGTGGTTACACCTCTGTCTTCTCTGTGCCCAACGGAGGCCACTGGGGCAAGTGGGGCAGCCAGCAGTTCTGCCACCATGGCTATGCCAATGGATTTGCACTGAAGGTAAAGGTCTCTCCATTCCCTACCGTCCCTGTCCCTAAGGATCTTCTGCAGATTTTTCATCTTCTTGAGTATGATACTCTGTACATAAAGCTATGAACCTTCTGGCAAGTGTTGCCACTGTAGCTACACCAGAAAAGTCTGCATGTGGCTGATGTTGCTGGGAGAGGTCATGTGGGTGAGAAAATCTGGAATCTGGGAGAGAGGCATCCACCACCAGTGTCTCTTCTGAGACTCTGCCTTACCTGTTGGGTCAGATATAGTTAGAAAACACAAAGAACATGTTACACGGGTTAGGTGGTTTCCCAGTGACAGCTGTCTTTTCCAATGTGCTTCCCAAGGCATTTCCTCTTTCCCAATACAGAAAGGAGGTGGGACTGTTTAGGACAGGCATGTAAAGGACTTTTCCTGGGTCCTTTTCCCCTTGCCTTTACCTCTGTCCCTGTGTGACTTCCATTGCAGGTGGAGCCTGACCAGTTTGGAAGTGATGACACAGCTCTGAATGGCATATGCCTGCATTGCCAGGATGACTCAATAACCACTGAGTCCTTGGTGGGGGAGTAAGTGACACTTTCTCTCCTGTTTGTCATGCACCAGCCCACAAAACACCCATGGCTGTGACCATTTGCAGGGGTCTCTTCTCTCTGACTTGCTGTATTCATAGTGCTGTAGTGTAGTGAATTAAAACAAGTGGTTAGGGGTTGTTTTTCATTAATTTTGAGGGTTATTAAACAGGGTTTAATAACTTTAACTTAAGTTAAAGTAACTTAACTTTACTACTTTTTGTCTACCCTTGGATTTCCTGCAGAGCACTGTGAACACCTGAAGTATGGTCCCAGGGTCAGTCTTTCTTTGGAAGGGTTTCTAACCATGCATTTAGAAACTGCCAGGTCCAAGCCCTGGCCATGCTGCAGGGAACAGTGCTGCACCTCTGGCTGCTGTCCCGGCTGCCTGCTGTGTATCTGTCACACATGTCAGGGATATATCATAAAACCTATGCTCAGGCTGCCCTCAGAGTTTCCACCAGAACCATAAATATCTCAGGTTTCCTGATGTTTTTCTTATGAGATATCAATGAAGAGAAAAGTACATCTTTGGAAGGCAAGGAAAACAAAAGGAGAAAGTAAAGGGCCCCAGACTGCAGCAGGATGCTGTGTCAGAGAAGTGTTAAGCTTCTGAGCAGCATGACAAGCAGAAGGAGCATTTCCCAGCAGCTCACAGAACCCAGACATTTTTCCATTTGCTTTTTGTCAGGTGGGGTTCCAGGACCAGCTTCCAAGTTTGCTCTGGAGGCTACCTGATCTCCTTTTCACTGAGAACAGGGAAGTCCCAAAGAGCAGGTGATGACACAGCAGCCAATAACATCCAGTTCAGATGCTCAGACGAAGCTGGTTGGTGATGGACTCTCGTGGGGCAGCTTTGGCCCGTGGACCAACAGCTTTAAGATATGTGGTCTCCAGACCAAGGTAGAGCCCCCACAGGGACTTCAGGATGACACAGCACTCAATGAAGTTCTTCTGCTGAAAATGAGCACTTGCTCCATATCCCATATCCCACAGCAAGTGAAGTATCAGTAAGGCTTTGCTCTAGCTTTATCCTGGGGTGTGCCCATGATGTTTTGACTGCTTGCATCTTGTTATTCTGGCCAACGCCTTAGGTGATGATGTCTTTTACAGCTACTGCTAAGTTAGCATAGCCAAATCTTTGCATCAAGTACTGCTGGTATGTTGCTGTGAAAATGCTCAATCTCTAGCAACTGCTCAGAGCTGACAGATTTCTCAACTTTCTTTTTTCTGACTGGCCAGTTTCTTTGAGGTTTGGTCTGCCCATTTTTTCCTTATTTGCAGTAATACTTGATCTGTTGGTATGACAAACAGGGAAGAATGGGTATTTGAGTGCATTTGAAGCTTGACCAAAGCCAAGACGAGTAACAAGAGACAAGCAGGGTGAAGGAGAAGTTTGGGTGGGCTCATGAGAAGCATCAAAGGTTTGCTGTCATTTCCCACTCCTAGCTTGAATTGCCTCAAGATTTGTACATGTTTTTTGCAAGCAATCTGTTAGCTCCTGCCTTAGAAAACATGGCTAGAAAGTGTGTTTGCACTGTGCATTCATCTGTGTGGCACTGAACCACCCAGGTGGGTTGCAGCTCCCCAGGCCTCCCTAGCTGCTGCATTGCAGTGTGCTCTGCTGGCTCACCTGGCTGCTAGTGCAGAACATTTTTACGGGACTTGGATTTTGTTTGTTGCCTCTGGGCTTCATGCTTTAAATAGAATGGGGGAGAATCCAAACTAAAAATAAACTCTATGTCATTCATCCATTTTTTATGCTCCAATTTCCTGGTTAAGCTGGAAGTTATTACCTTGTCCTGATATGCTAGATGTAAAGAATGTACCCTCAGTTCAGGGAAAAAGAATGTTTGGAGATCATTATCACACTATCAAGCCACCAAGCCTCTCTGGCAAGACGTTGAGAAGACTTGCTGCCTCTCTGGGCACCTCCTAGGAAGCATAGCTGTTGCTTTTTCCTCAAAGCAATGCATTATGCATCTTTGTGCGCTTGAAGAAAAGGTAGGGGTGTGGTGTTGGCATTCTCCAGGTGACTGCTGGGGTTGGGCTGTGGAATGTTGTGTCTGGGACCACAGCCACGTGGAGCAGCACAGAGCTGATGGTGGAGGTTCCTTCTGCCAGTTCACATCCTCTCCTTAGCACACTCATAGAGCCATCTCCACTCTGGCTCTTCAGGCATACAAATTTTTCTTACTGTTGCTTACCTCAAAACGTACTCTAATAATAACTGTATTTCCTTCCACTGAAGCACTTCAGCAAAGCTTCCATAGTGCAAGAAGAATCTCAGAAAAATTCGTGCATTTGAATGATTTTAATTAAAAAAAAAATGAAATTTTCTAATCAGACCTTCTGCTGCAAATTTTCATAGTTCTGATTTGTTTAATCTCAGGATTTGATTTATTTCTTAACATTTGGTATTTCTAAATGATTCTTTAACTGCTTTCTCTCTTCCTCTTGATTGCAGACATTTTAAGTGTGCAAATGCTTTATTAAAGAAATGCTTACTTTGTAAAACCAGCCCAGTCATCACTTGAAATACTGATTATTAGCTTCAAGGAACTGTTGTGTAGCTTCCATCTCAATTTAGCAGTTTCTGAAAAAATCCTTATTTATCATATATTCAGCTCTCTCTAAACATATAAATCCCTCAGCTCTAGTAATTAGCCAAAAAAAAAGCAAAACAAACTCTCCCCCCCCCCCGCCAAAAAAAAAACCCCAACAAAAAGAAACAACCACAAAATCACAACCTCTTTTTAACAAGGGGAACCAAACTAAACTAAAACTAAATTCTGATGCTATCAGAGTTAACTGGAGTTAGCAGTGCCCACACCATATCCTAACTTCCAAAATTACTATTTTCAAGCCCCACAAAGGGACATATTTTAGTTTGCATCTAGTTGCTTGGCTTTCATTTTCCTGTGAAACAGGAATAATTTCAGCTTGCAAGCTGACATCCAGTGTAATTAGCGAGGCAATATTTGGGGACATAAAAGTAAAAATAGCTGCATTGATCTAAGCAAAACAGGCTTAATTTGATGAAAGTGAGCAGAAATCGTGGCGATACAATTATCTGCATCATCTCCCAAAGCCTGGGAATCCCCTTGCTGAGGCAGAGGCAGCTCCATGCACTTCACAGAGGTCTTAGAGGGCCAAGTGCTGGTCACCCTCCACCAGAGCACGTTGGACAAGCAGAAACCATCAAGTATTAATACTATAACACTCTGTCATCAGTGTCACCAGCAAATTTGGCAACAGGACATTCCAAGTGCTTTTGTTTTAGCATGCGAGTAAGTTGTGTTTTTGTGAAAGACGAACTGAGTGGACCTAAGCTGTGTGTGCAGCCAATTATGTGAGGGAAAAAAGGTCAGACAGATCATCATCTCCATATAGAGAAGGTTTTTCATTTTTGGAATGACCAATGCTACTGAGTTGAAGTGCTTGAAAGAAGGAATGGCATTTCGAGTGACTTGTTCAAGAAGCAGTATCTGTTTTCTTATATATGTGTATGCACATGTAAATGTAGATGATGGAAAACTGGAGCTTCATATTGTGCATTTCTTCTCCAGAGGGTAATTCAGGCTGGAAGACTCTGATCATCTGCTCTTTCTTTGCAAATGAATGGTTCAGTTAATTTTGAGGTTTCACTGTGGGAAGAATTATTCACAGTGCCAGCAAAACTAACCTTCTCTGCTTTCCTGTTATGCCAGGTGTAACACAGCTTCCTAATAGAGTATGAATAGACACTCCAAATGGGAGCTGTTCCAAGAAATGTTTGGAAAGCAGGATACCATCTTCTCCTCACATACTTTCTCATGTACTTATCAGCAGCTTGAAAATTGAATGGCTATTTTTTTATCATCTGAATATTGATAAACCAGCTGGGTCTCCTCGGATGGTCCATTTGCAAAACATGGATCATACACAAACTAGAAAGTAGGTCTCAGGCATTTACTTCACTCAGAGTGGAGGAATCACTCTTATACCAGAAATGAAGGTATAAAACCATCATCTAAGTGTGCTGGAGCTGGTATGGCTAAAAATGTGCATAGCTGGAATCTGTGAGTGGCTACGTCTGCATGACTCAAAAAAGTGACTGTGTGTCTCTGGCACATCTACAAGTCAGGAATATGTTGCTAAAGAACTAACACATAGTCCCTGTGGAATGTTGGTGGGACTAGTGGCAGGACCAAGGACCAAGCAAGAATTATCCCTGAATTGACTGATAACCTGGCAATTTTAGATCTGGAGCATGAGTAGGCTTGGGGAAGGCAAGAAGGAGTTTTCCACTGATCCATGCATATGCGGCACAGCTCCCAGGGAGACTGGCAGAAGCAGCAGACCTGGAGCTTTCCCAAAGTGATTTTTAAAAGCCAATTCTATTGAATAAGACTGAATCAGACCGAGACCAGACCTGCTGTTAGTGGTGCTTCAGTGAACCAAGCTTTGAGTCTGCCTCTGAGAAAGATGACCATAGAAATCCTAACCTTCATGGCCATATTGTTCCTGTTGCACAAGGAAAATAGACATTCCATCCATCAAAAGTACTTTGAAGCTTAAGTTGTTAGTTTTTGTGAGATGCAGGGGAAACACCTGAAGATGCTTTAGCTGCAATTCATTGATAATACTATACATGATGAGTGCATCATGCAGCTCATGCTCAACCTGTCATAGTTAGCAAGTTTTCCAGCCCCATAAAACCAACCCTAATTAACTAGTGTGATTGCCAATGAAGAAACAACTAAAACCATCTGGTTTTGAATTTTATGAGTATCATTACTTGGAAATGTTTTTACAGAATGTGAGGAGGAAAGAACATTAACCTATGGATCATGAAAAGAAAAACATCAAGACTCTGGAGAGGCGATTAATGAAGGATTGAATTCTGGCTTCCATGCTTCCCACAACACCGTGGGCATGCCTGGGTCCTGCAGGACTGAATATATATGGTATTGTGCTTGAACCCTTACTTTTCGTCTGAGGAGCTGTTGTGTGGTTTGTACCTGCCTGCTCTGTCTTCATCTCTCCAGAAAGGGAGATCCTTCCCAAGGCAGTCCAGGCTACAGAAAGTAATGTTGGAAGTTGTTGTCCTGGCAGGAAGAAGGAGTAGCTGGCTCAGTGAAAGCTGGGGGAATGCATGAGCTGTCTGACAATGCATGAACACGATTAGCAGCAAGGCAGCAGCACCAGATATATAGAAAATATATTGCTCCTGGGCAGATAATATAGAATCTTTCTTAGAGACTTTTGCATTTGGTGTGTTTTTCCTGAGCTTTCCATGTTCCACTGGAGAAAAACTTGGTAGACATCAGTCACCTCATAACCCCTTCAAAACAGACTGACACTGTACTGCTTGCTAAAGCTTGGTGGCTTTGGCACAGGCCACATAGCTGGGTGACATTTGGCTCCACTAGCACCTGGGCCTCTCCAAAAGAGATTTCTTTTTGGTCACTCAAAACCAATTCAACAGTAGCAATAGGGCAGTGGCAGTTTGGTGCATTTCTTAATGAACATAAACGAGCAAAATGGACATCAATGACCTCTTCAGTGCTGTGTAGCAAGGGAAAAAATTACAGTGCCACAGGAACATGTGCAGGAGTTTATTAATTCAGTTTGTGAAAAAGAACATTTTCAGAGGGGACAGGACGGTATGAGAAGTCAGGTTACTGTGGGAGTCATTTCAGGATCAGGCCCTGAAGAGGCCCAAGACATCCCCTTTGTGTTTCTGCTGTTCTCCTTCTCAGGGGGAGCATTCTGATGCTGTCTATGAATGACTTAGAAGTCCATGGACAAAACTGTACATCACTGCTTCATTGAAATCCAGAAAGGGCCACTCTTACCCTAAAGGAGTCTCTTCATGCATTCAAAAATAATTTAACCAATTTCACTTTTGCAAGTAGTAAAAGTAGATTAAAAGATTAATTCCCCAATCTGATGTTGTGCCTAGAATGAACTTCAATCCTTGTACCAATTTTTATGTCAGTGAACTTTTTATAGTGTGATAACCAAAAGTA